ACATTCATGATTATGTCCTTTAGAAGTGAAAAATCCTCGTTATTTTGTGTAAAGAAATGGGTCGCTGTCCAAGGTAACCTAATTACTAAAATAGTTGTTAGTTAGTTGTAATTTACGTCCGCTTCCACCGAAGTGATATCGCAGACAATTTTATTATTACTAAAATAGATTATACTTTCCATTTATGTTATTTGCCGAAGGCTCGGATTAGCTATTTTATTATTACTAAAATAGATTATACTTTCCATTTATGTTATTTGCAGAAGGCTCGGATTAGCTATATAAATCACGTGATTTCATTGCAGTCATGGTCGTTCCAGTGAATTTCTTATAGCGTGCCAGCTTGATTTTGCTTATCGTGTGGTGAATAGGCTTATAGTGTGCCGGCTTATAGTGTGCAAGATTGAAATGAAATGAAATGGGGTTTAACGTCCTACTTTTCTGCTCCGAACTTGGCTAATGAAGACGGGTGCCAGGTTGATATCAGCCAACAATATCTGGCGTCTTGTTCGCAAGAAATTCAATATAAAAGAAGTGACATGCACATACACACACACACACATACACGCACACACACACACACAAATGTGCCCTAGGCATCTTTCTGGTGGGAAAGGCGTTATTTTTATGTAAGTGTTTTTTTTTTATGTATTTAACGATTTATTTGATTGGTCGATAAAAATAGCACAAACATCAAGGGTAGACAATTCGAGGGATTAGTGTAGTGGAACGGATCGAATGACACAGCTGCATACCGAGGATGCCGGTAGATTAAAATGAAATGGGGTTCAACGTCCTACTGTTTTGCTCCGACTGGGCTAATGAAGACGGGCATACGCCATACAGTGTGCTGAGGGAAATTTTGCCCTGACAGCGGCACTACGGCCTACTCTTATATCGAATTCCAACTGCCAAGGGATCTTTTACGTGCACGCTAATGTGTACCCGGGACCTCGGTTTTTAGTCCCATCCGAACGACTAGACAGCTTTCCTTGTCAGCCCCTCCGTCCTGCATCACTGACAAGGGAGAACCACGCCGGAAAATCTGGGTGAACTTTCTCGGCCAATGCAGGGATCGAACACCCGACCTCCAGGCTAGCGAGCCAGCGTCTTACCCACTTAGCCACGTGATCCCCCAGGTAGATTAAAACTGACATAGTCCACATTATTAGAGTTTTAAAAACAAAGCAAAGTGAGTAACTAATACCTTTAATTTATTTTCCTAGGTCGACCGTTGAAATAAATTCTAATTCGAACATTACATAGTGATATAACATAGTGTTTAATATATGGTGTTAATATATTTGTATATATATTGCAGTAAGTTGATAAGAAGAATGTTATTAGTTTATTTGTTAAACAACGAGAGAATGTGATATTAGTGGCAACTAATTATATATACAGATATTAATATTGACATCTTTATAAATTACTATCTGAATAAAAAAACAAAAAGGATCTACACCTAATCCTAACCCTTTTTCTTTGTAGAGTACACAGTAGTCTGGCTACTACCCTGATATTAGAGAATGTGTGTGAAATAGTTTTATTTAACATCCGCTTCCACAAAAGTGTTATCGCAGACAATTACATGTTATATATAAAAAGTGAAATATTTACAATAGGAATTAGCAAACCAGTGAAAGGTTTGATAAAAAATTTATATGCATAGAAGAAAACACTTAAAGGACGGGCGATGCACATTTAACATTCGGACGCGGACATGTATACGTTTATGTAACAAGTGCTTTAACGAGTGTGGAGATAATATATACATAGAGACAATCAAAGATAAACATAACACTGGGCGACAAAATAAGTGATTTGCCTAGGTCTGGACGGTTTGTCCGGTTGAAAGGCTTGTTGGTGAGTGTGTGGCCTGGTCCATTCTTCCTAGCATTTATTGTTGGTTCTCTGAAGGAAGAATCCAGCACTCGAAAAAAACAAGATAAAATAAAGAATAAAAGAGAGTATCTGTGCTTACAAAAAGTTCATTTCTTTGGGAGGGGGGGGGGGCTAAAATTAATAAAAATGAATACATAAATAAATAATATGAACTAGTAAAACTATGGTCGATCAGATATATGTATGGATGAATGTACAATCATGATTTAAGAATACATAGAACATAAGAATATAGCATTAATGGTCGATATTAAAGAAAGTTGAGTTTGTTATATATACCTGGTTAGTAAAGAGTGTATTGAGGTTAAATGAAGCGTGACTAATATGATTTATAGAATTGTTGATTAATATAAATACGAGTTATTATAAAACCATTGGTTTACTCTATTGTTACTCGCACCTATTTACACTCATATATTAGCCTGTATATTGTATACATGTGTATGTGTACAATATACAGGCTATGTAGATGTTAATACGATCTATAATAGATCGTATTAACATCTACATATATATATGTAGATGTTAATACGATCTATTATATATATATATATAATAGATCGTATTAACATCTACATATATATATATATATATATATCCAAAATTATTAGCACAACCGCAAAGCTGCACTACTTTGTTTCACGGTAAATGATGAAAAGATAAAAAAAAGGTATGCCGACACAAACTGATTTCAGCACTGGTTTAATAACATTTTAACATTTTAAAGTACTTTTCGTCCGTCTTGGGACTATTCATAAATAATGTCATCTTATATATATATATATATATATATATATATATATATATATATATATATATATATAATAGATCGTATTAACATCTACATAGCCTGTATATTGTACACATACACATATATACAATATAATAGATCGTATTAACATCTACATAGCCTGTATATTGTACACATCTACACAGGTAAGGACTTTGATATTTTGTATATAACACCTGGGCCCTTATTCACGAAAACTAAACTAAGTTACAACCGAAATTTTAAGAAATACTGCAACTTCATTGGATATATGCAAATTGATTTTACTGGTCAGCCAATCGAATTGCAGTTTTCGTGAATAAGGGCCCAGTATTAGCGTTTGGTGCAATCTGATTAAAATACAGATATATATTTCGTTTCGTTTTTTATACCTTCGATGGCGTCTACTACATGAAGATCTGACCAGTTGTAGTGGGAGATCCCGTGAGGGTTCGCACGAGCGGCTTTTGACCCTATGACGTCAGACATTGATTAATCAATCAGTGTTGACGTTTCTAGTGGTTTACCCATAGTTCCGTGCATGGCACACCAAGAAGTCATCGTAACAGATGGATTCATTGGCTAATCCAGAACGCCAGCTATATAACAACTCTTCCAGATCTTAGTGTAATACAGACAAATAAAACGAAATTTTGAACTATAAAAACGAAACGAAATAGGATCTGTGTTTTAATCAGATTGCGTTTGGTGCAAGTGTGTTTTTCTGGCATACAGGATGTTGCTGCTGACGTATCTCTCTAGAATGCAGACCGTTGGTGTCGTTCTAGAATATAGCCTATTTCCCATGAATCTATGTTTTAATTATTAAAGTTGTATTATCGTGTTAGGTTAAAGATATGATCTAATGTTAATTAAAATCGGCTTTATCTGTTGATAAGTCTATATTATTAATCATTGATTGAATATCGATCTGTAGAATATCTACTGTCTGGTGGTGGGAACAGGTACGCAAACTATAATAATATTAACAGTAGTATTTCTACTGACTGAGTTATAATAGTATTAACATCGGTATTTCTTATAATTAACCCTTTGGGGTCGGCTCCTAACTGTGTTATAATAATATTAACATCAGTATTTCTTATAATTAACCTTTTGGAACCGGCTCCTGGCTGACTTATTGGTAGATCTGGTGTATTGAATCAGACTGCCTTGTAACAAACTGCAGAGTATGCTTACGCTTTTTGGAACATCAAATAACACTTCCCATTTCAGGTTTTGCATAGTTAGAATTACATTATATATAAAAGAATTTAATTTGAATATACTCTAGTAGTAAATGTTAAGAGATCAATAAATTATGATTGATCTGTGATTATAACCAATAATCAATTTGATCAGTATAGAATGTTAGGTTGTATTATATAACTCTGGCGTAATTACTTCGTAGCTTGTATACGGTACAATAGGTCCCGGTGATATATAAAATAAACCTATGATGATGTAAATAGCCAGTCGGTTTTGTTGTGTCCTCCTGTGGGATTTAACCGGAGTAAAACCGCGAGGTTTAGAAGGCGCCCCTATCTCCAAGCCACATACGCGCACACCAGGGATCGAAACCACAACCGCAAGTCAGGGGCCACCTGTCAGCTAAAGGTTGAAGCGCGGCACTCTAGCCCCCCCCCCCCCCATATGGGATAATTATCGATCTTTCCCCTTTTATAGCACACCAGTCACACCCATGATCAACGACGTTTCTTTAGTTTGTCTATTTAAACTATTCGCAATAATATCGTATTTATATATAAATGATTCGCAATATTATCATTTAGGTTTTCGTATATAATTGATTCGCAATAATATGATGATTTAGCGTGTTATATTATAATTGATTTAATGGACCATGTTGCGTATTAATATAACAGACTAATCTGTGAGAAAAGAAAATTTTGTTAATGCTATGTTAGTTAATTAACACTCAACAACATTTCAACAGTTAAACGTCTCAACACAAAACCTGATGTAAAATCCATTTCAATGTGCATAGTTGACCTCATTTTTGTCCTACGCTAACGATAAGACACTTTTGTAAATATTTTATTCTTTAATATTCCAAATCGCTTTAATTATTTTTCGAAAAGTTCACTTTATTTACAGCATTAAATATAAAACAACACACTTCTTAGATTACTTTTTCTTTCATACGTTTCTGCATCGAAAGAGATAATAAACGCGTCGGGGTTATATTATAGCTGTGTGTTGTCGTGTTCAATGTTGTCAAGTGTTATTTGATCCGTGTAAAGTAGTGTATTGTTATACAATAGCGTGAGTGTGTTATACAGGTATGTTGACAAGTAGTTTATTATATTAGATCAGCGTATAGCTGTGTGTAGGTTTCTAGTCAATATCATATCATTGATTAATTGGCCGCGGTGGATATACGCTCGGCGCTTTAACAGGTAAATATATATATAAAATATATGATCCAATAAAAAATGTTGGGTTAGAATCTGTTACTAGTAATTTGTATAATTGTTGAAGTTATAATTGGGAATATATGTATATGAGTCTTCTATTTTTTATATAATATAGAAATTGTTAGTTAAGTTGAGTACATAATATTTATATTTATCCGGTGAAACGGATGATTGAGTGGTGGTGGTAACTGGGGGCGGGGGTAGTTAAATGCCATTTTATTATCTTTTTCTTTATTTGAAAGTGATATTGGTCGCGTCAATGGTTTAACTCGGTGAATGTGGGGTAGAGGAATGAGTTAACTGGGTGAGTGTGGGGTAGAGGAATGGGTTAACTGGGTGAATGTGGGGTAGAGGAATGAGTTAACTGGGTGAATTTGGGATAGAGGAATGAGTTAACTGGGTAAGTGTGGGATAAAGGAATGAGTAAACATATATTTAAATATTACGTCTAATAGTTAAATTGATTTAAAATGTCGAGGTTCATAATTCTATAAATACTAACACCACCGAAAACACAATAAACTATTGAAATATAGCCAGGTTGGTAGTGACGTAGTGAAATATGTCCCGGTTGGTAGTGACGTAGTAAAATATGTCCCGGTTGTGCCTCACGTGGTGAAATATAGCCCGATTGGGACTGACGTGGTAAATTATAGCCCGATTGGGTCCAAATTACAGTAGAAAAATCTCTTAAATAATTTCTCGGCTATGCTCTAGATTTGAAAGTTTGAAAATCCTAAAAAGCTAAAATAAATTCATGATTTTGTATCGAATAATTTGTCATGGATAATTAAGTTGATGTTTTCAATCAGCAGGTGTCAGTCCGTTACCAAACGACGCCCTCAAACCTGAACGAGCAGACATTACGCGTAGATTTAAACCAAGGGGCTACGATAGACCTTACCCTACTCCGTGACACATATATATAAATATACCGAGAGTAGGTTTGATAAAGTCAAGTGTTTTAATTGAAGGTCTACCTAAAATAGGATTTGATTTATACAAGGGTCATGTTTGATGATTTTGCCTAACCGGAGCTATATGATAAAATTGCTAACATTTTTAAAAGAGAGAAAATTTTATTCAAAATTTTTAATGGTATATATTTTAATTGTATATATTTATCATATATTGAGTTTTAAATATTTATATATGTAAAGGATTTGTTATATATATTTTTAATTATATTTTATTTACATATATGAATACAAGTCTGTGATAATGTTTTAATTTTTCTCGTTAAATTCACCATATGTTTGGCGCAATATAGCCCGGTTGGGGCTGACGTGACCTTAACCAACATTTTTTTTTCAAGTTTGATGACATTTTATTTTATATACTATTCAAAAAAAGTAGGGGATATTTGATTTTTAAGTGTTATTAAAGTCACCTAATGAAACTGACGAAGAAACAAATGACAAAATGAAATGAAGTTCACATTCATCGATTTATTCCAAATGATCGTTAGACTAAGTAAGGCACAGACTGACCATTATAAGGGTAAAATGATACCCGGGGTCAAACAGCAAAGTTACCACAGCATCACAACCAAGTCAGTAACGGGTAAATCCTCCTCTGTTTGCCAAACAAGCATTGATCCGACGTGGCATACTCCCAATGAGACGTCTAAGGTCATTTTGGTCCAGATTGTCCCATTCCTGTTGCAACGCAGCAGCAAGTTCTTGGACATTGGCAGGACGTTGTTGACGTTGACGTAACCTCTGTCCGAGCATGTCCCAGACATGCTCGATGGGGGAGAGGTCGGGACCAGGGCTGTCGGTAATTTTTCACAGTTGAATAGCAGCACTGCTAATCAAAAAGTCCAATTTTGCCAAATTTGATTAGCAAATTTAAAAATTGATTAGCAGTTTTTCAGTTTCAACGTAAAACACCTAAATAACAAGATATTACTTTAATTCATAACGAATTGAAATATGATTAGATTCCATTCTGACTATTCTTAGATTTTTTAGCACTGCCACAAGTACTTGTGACAGTTTGTGAATGTGATGTAGACATTTAGTTAGGTCTTATGTCTGAAGCCAATTCTTGACAGTGACTTCCGAAGCCCCACTCATTTTAATTGTAATTTTTTTGTTACGTTAGAAATCTTCGTTAGAAAACAATTTCGTCTGCTTTTTATCGTGTATTATTATTTTTGTTCAATCGGGCGCACCTCGATTAACTAGACACACGCGATATAAACAATAATATTTTACGGGAATTTTTACTTTGATTTATCATTTTACAATACGTTAACATGTATTTATTTTTTTTATATTTTATTTACAATACGTGGGAGATACACTGGATTTATTTCTTTCAAAATGAATATGATATAATTACTTGATGTCTCACAACGTGAGTGGTACTACTTGATTCCCTATTTCCGGTTTAATAGTCCCTATTCATAGAGTTATGTCCCTGTGTTATATAGTATTGTGTCTGGGCAGTTCGAGAAGAAAATGTCACACGGAGAATTCAGTTTTGTTTCTAAAATGTTATTCAACATTTTATACACGTTGAAAGTGTTGAGTAAGCCTTCTAGTCTTCAAAATGTGGATAATTCTTGTGTCAATATCCAAAATGATAGCAACGGACAAAATATGTATCGCAAATTGCGCTGCGATACTGGTTGTCGGCAGCCCTGGTCGGGACTCAGTGCTGGCCAAGGTAATGTGGTGATGTTCTGTTGTTGGAGGTAACCTGTAACGATCCATGCCCTGTGACATCTTGCGTTGTCATCCTGGAAGATGAAACGGCGGCCATGACGTCGTGCGAACGGCACAACATGGACTGCCAAGATGTTGTCCCGGTAGTACTGGCCTGTAACACGCCCTGCAACAACATGTAAAGCCGTTCTTCCAGCAACAGTGATGCCTCCCCACACCATAACAGAACCACCCCCAAATCGATCATGTCTGATGACGTTAACGTCTTGGAAGCGCTCGTTTCGACGACGCCACACCCTCCTACGTCTGTCCAAAAAATCAACAGTGAACCTTGACTCATCTGAAAACATCACATTGCTCCAGCGTCGATTATCCCAGTGTTGACGATCCCTACACCGACGACGTCTTGCCTGAATGTGATGATCTCTCAAACAAGGGATCACGCGAGGACGTCGGGCGCGAAGGTGACCCCTATGCAGTCGATTCCGAATCGTCTGGCCACTCACTCTCACACCAGTGTCTGTTTGAAGACGAGCGCTGATCTGATTTGCTGTGATGACACGATTTCTCAAGGCCAAGGTACGGATAAATCGATCCTGGGCTTGAGTTGTCGCCCTTGGTCGACCTGAGCGTGGTCTGTCCTGTACAGATTGTGTATCACGGTATCTGGACCATAGCCTGCTTATGACAGACTGAGAAACATTCATCGTCCGCGCCACAACCGCCTGTGTTGTGCCGATCTGTAGCATGCCAAGGGCACGTAACCTTTCATTTTGGGTAAGCCGACGCATATCAAAATTTGTTTTCTGGTCACTAAAACAATTAAACTGATGTTTCCACCCTGGAATTCAATGCCACAATGACTGTAACATTCAAAGTCAGAGTCGTGCAAATCTTGGGTTGGACCCCCATGATGATCCCAAGCAGCACCTGCATTCCATGCGGTAGCTATTGGTGCGTTTGGGCGTCACATGTAACTGGAAATGTTTCGTCTGTTAGGTTCTATAGTGACTTTTTTCGTAGTCATTTGCATATTTTAGTAGTATGCCCCCAAAATCAAATATCCCCTACTTTTTTTGAATAGTATATCTTCCTGGTTTGAGATAACATTATACGGTCTCTTTGAATTTATGTTCTCGTGAATTTCTACTGATTCAATACATTGTTATATTTTCTGGTTAGATACGTCGTTATATTTTCTGGTTACTTACATTGTTATATTTTCTTATTACATACTTTGTTATATTTTCTTATCACATACGTTGTTATATTTTCTGGTTAAATACGTTGTTATATATTCTGGTTTCATACGTTATTATATCTCCTGGTTACATACGTTGTTATTTTCTGATTAAATACGTTGTTATATTTTCTGGTTTCATACGTTGTTATATTTTCTGGTTTCATACGTTATTATATTTCTGGTTTCATACGTTATTATATTTTCTGGTACGTTGTTATATCTCCTGGTTACATACGTTGTTGTTTTCCGATTAAATACGTTGTTATATTTCTGGTTTCATACGTTATTATATTTCTGGTTTCATACATTATATTTTCTGGTACGTTGTTATATCTCCTGATTAAATACGTTGTTATTTTCTGATTAAATACGTTGTTATATTTTCTGGTTTCAGACGTTGTTATATTTTCTGGTTAGATACATTGTTATATTTTCTGGTTAGATACGTTGTTCTATTTTCTGGTTACATACGTTGTTATTTTCTGATTACATACGTTGTTATATTTTCTGGTATATCCATGACCGAACCACCAAAAGGGACGAAAACGTCGTGAACAGTCGTCAAAATATCTGTAAAAAAGGTTTAAATGAAAATGTTATTAAAGTAGCTCTAGTAGCAATGTTTGCAGATTGCCTAGAAGTCTGATGGCGGAATCTGTTCTACAATCAACATTAATTGTATTTCTATCTATTTTTAATGATGAATAGAATCCTATTAAAGCTGCTAATGATGAAATGTAATTAAACTTAAGTTCAACAAAGTCACGCTATTTCTATTTATTAGGAAATCTATGACGCACGTTTCTAACCAAATGGAAAATGGTGCTAAACACGTACTAGCTAGTAGTAATTAAGAGTTGGATTTGATTAAAGGTGTGCCAAATTGTTCTTTGTTTTTCTTCCATGTTAAAAGTGGAAACGGTTCTTTAAAGATAGGAAAAAAACAACTTGAATCTTAAAAGATAATTAATTATAAAATATTTTATTCTTGTATTTTATTTTTAGAAATGGCAATCCAACCAGAAACTAACCTAGCAACCAGCTTTATGGTAAATCGGTCACCAAGAAATCATTCATAATGGGAGAAACATATTTGCACGTGACTTCACCGGAAGTCTACAGTAAACGTTTCTCGGATTACGTCAAACAATTTCACGCTGATGACGTCGAAGACGTAAAAGGAGAAGAAAGGCGACACAAAAGCAAAAATCCACAACTTAGTAAATCCAAAATTCGAAGCCAGAATCCGCGTCGAATGAGTGAATCTTCCATGCTTCCACCTATTAACACCACGGCAGGAGTGTCAACGCCATCTTTTTCCAACGGTGTGTGGAAATTTCAAACTTCGAATCCCGCTCATGGAAAATCAAATAGTAAAACTACACGTAGTGTTGGACAAACTATTTTACTCAAGGAATCTCAAAATTCGCCGACTTCGCGTAAAGATGGAAAAACTTTAAAAACAACAACGACATCTTTAGACATTAGAAAATCTCCCGAAACTTTGCGTCTCACCCCTATAATTCCAAACGATAGGAGATATAAAACAGAGAAAAAGGTTCCAAGTAAAGCAACCAACGAAAACACTCCACGTCTCGCGCCTAAAGCGTCAAATGACCATCATAAATCAAAAAGTAAAGTGAATAAAAACCAGAAGTTAAAACCGTTTGACGAACCGTTTTCTATTCGACGGAAAATCGAACAATTTAAACGCTGGCACGAGGAGCAGTATTTACAAAAATTGCAAAAATTGAAACAGGAAACAGAAATAAAAATAGATATTCCCAAACCGAGGGCATCTCTTGATAAAGACGTCCCCAAGTTAAAAATGAGTGACAAAGAAGGTCCACTCCTACCTAAAACTGAAAATGATAACCTGAATTCTGGAGACGAGGTCGATTCGGGTAATGGATCCGCTTTCAATTTATCTTCCATTATGAAATCTACAACAAGCAGACACAAGTCGGCTAAAACATGGAAAACGTGGCGTGACGTCAACGATTCCTACGCCTACACGGATGTGACGAAATATATTGAAGATAACGAACTGATGACACCCGAGAAAGAGACGTGGATAAAAGAATGGGCGGACGAAGTAGACCGTGCCTACTTTCATAACACTACCTCTAATAAAAATGAACCATTGACAATTTCAGAAACCTAATAACGTTTGTAACCCTTGTATTTAACGACAGGTGGTGTTTGAACTGTTCTACTATAAGGTTACAATTTATAAAACTAATTCGTAATTCGTTTTAAAAACTATTGTTGGCAAAAAAGGGCTTTGTGGATATTGTTAAATTCTTCCATTGAAGTTTTAATGAAAAATGAAATATATTAAAATATCGACGGTTTTATTAAAGATATTACGGTGCAAAGTGCTAATGATGTATAGATCGGAAACTATAATAGGTAGGCCTATAATATTTAGTTCCGGCTACAAGTTATGGATATTCCGTCCAGATAATGTTTAGTTCCGACTACACGTTATGGATATTCCGTCCAAATAATGTTTAGTTCCGGCTACAGGTTGTGTATATTCCATCCTGATAATGTTTAGTTCTGACTACACGGTATGTATATCCCGTCCAGATAATGTTTAGTTCTGACTACACGTTATGGATATTCAGTCCAGATAATGTTTAGTTCCGGCTACAGGCCCTGTATATCCCATCCTGATAATGTTTATTTCTGACTACACGTTATGTATATTCCGTCCAGATAATGTTTAGTTCTGACTATATGTTATGTATATTCCGTCCAGATAATGTGCAGTTCTGACTACATGTTATGTATATTCCGTCCAGATAATGTGCCAAATCAATAAGACTTTGGTGATTTTAGGGAAGATTTTATTCTGTTTAAATGACGGCGAGGGATGTGTAACATGTAACGGCCTAGTGAACGGTATCGTGTCCGCGATGTTGCTGTTCGGTCTAGTGAACGGTATCATGTCCGGGAGTCGCTGTTCAGCCTTGTGAACGGTAGCGTGTCCGGGATGTCACTGTTCGGGCTAGTTAACGGTAGGCTATCGTGTCCAGGGTGTTACCGTTCGGCCTGTTGAACGGTATCGTGTCTGTGGTGTCGCCGATCGGCCTAGTGAACGCTATCCCTGTCTCGCCTCGTGACAGACAACTCCTCCCTGTCCATCCTCTTTTTAGACAACACCTCCCTGTCGACACCCTTGATAGACAACACCTCCCTGTTGACACCCTTGATTGACACCTGTCTCAGAATGTCGTATTTTTATACATATATATATATAGTATTATAAAATGTGCTAGAAATATAAACGAATACGTCACGTGTCAACCCAAAATAGACAACAGATATTTGTAAGCATACCCTGCCTAATACAGGATATCCGCCACGTGTTATAGGTAGCTTAGATGAGTTCCCGGACAGAGTCAATGTTTGTTTTCAATTTACATTTACAGTCTGTGATATTTCATTAAATTTGTGTAGAGACATAGTGTATGCAAACATCATGTTATATGAAAACGAAGAGCCCAGGGGAAGAACATTTCTAAGTCACATTTTGTCTTTTCGCTTAAAAAGCAAAATAGACTTTTGGACGAGAATGTTTGACACGAACAGAACAACAAGTGGGTTTAATTACAACTTCAATATGATGCTTATACGAACCCTATATAATTACCAGTACAACACACTTCAACTTTTCAGGCAAATTAAGGTTATATAAAGAGTACGGTGGACTTGTATTTGTCCGGGAGGTCATTTCAGAAGAGCCTTGGTTCGATGTGACTCCGATTGTTTTTACCTGAAATAGATTGTTCCACAGAAAGTTTATACAATTTGCTACCAGATGGCGCCATTCACTGGTGTTCATTGAAAAAGTGACTTAGATCGTTCATCCCCGGGGCTGTTCAAACATAGTATGTGCATGTAATGCCTAGTTCACAAACCGCCGTATACCGTATGGCTGGTTGTGAGCTCGGGTTAAAACGTGTTATTTATAAGGGTCAGGGTTGGGTGGGATGTATTTTATGTTATTTATTAAGGTCAGGGCTAGTTCTGATGTATTTGTATAATATTTATTAAAATAGTTGGCATAAATCATTTGTTTATTAATATCTTCGTAAAGCCAAGTCTTTCATCTTGGCATGAATCATTTGTTTGTTAATATCTTCGTAAAGCCCAGTCTATCACCTTAGCATGAATCTTTTTTTTATTAATATCTTCGTAAAGCCCAGTCTATCATCTTGGCTTCTTATGAGTATCAATAAAGCTGTTGGATATGAAATGGGCTTGGAACTATATAGTTACTTTAGTAACGAATATTATCGGCTCTGCTCTCGAGCCATAATATTCGTTACTAAAGTAACTAGACTTGAACCTCCTTGAAATGGGGTTTAACGTCCTACTTTTTTGTTGTAATCGGATCTTGTTCCTGCAATTAAATGCGTGTACCATAGTGCCTATCGTTTTCGCTGAACTGTGGTGACCCTTTTAACGTAAGATGGGGATCACGTGGCTAAGTGGGTAAGACGCCAGCTCGCTAGCCTGGAGGTCGGGTGTTCGATCCCTGCATTGGCCGAGAAAGTTCATCCAGATTTTCCGGCGTGGTTCTCCCTTGTCAGTGATGCAGGACGGAGGGGCTGACAAGGAAAGCTGTCTAGTCGTTCGGATGGGACGAAAAACCGAGGTCCCGTGTACACATTGGCGTGCACGTAGAAGATCCCTTGGCAGTTGGAATTCGATACAAGAGTAGGCCGTAGTGCCGCTGTCCGGGCAAAATTTCCCTCATAGCACACTGTATGGCGTATGCCCGTCTTCATTAGCCCAGGTTAGGAGCAGAACAGTAGGACGTTAAACTCCATTTCATTTTTTTTAACGTAAGATAGATGTGGTCAGCCATCTACTGCGCATAAATATACCAGCAAAAAATGAAAGATTCAACCAAATGGGAACGGATACTTTACAGGGCTGGGAAACTTCAATCTGGTCAATTATGACATGTGTACTAAATTACTGGTATTCCGCAGATAGAAATTTCAGCTTTCTGGTTCCCAAAATATCATTGCTCCTACTACTGGTGGAAGTTAGGGTCATTATTCTTCCTTTTAAACAACGCTGATGGCGAGTTTACCCGTGTTTACAGATTGAGTTCCTAAAAGTCTACACTTTGTTTGCTGTCATTCGCTCCTAATTTTACAGAAGGGTGTTAGATGTTCAATTGTTCAAAATATTCTCAGAATTGTTCCATAGAATATGGTCATATGCCATATGATAAATATACCATCCAGGCAAGTCTTTAACTCAATATCATTCACAGTCTTCGACATTGCAAACACAACTATGTAATTTCAGGCCCGTAACTAGGGGGGCGAAGGGGGTGGGGGTAAAAAATTTTCGACCATAAAAAATAAGATATACATGTCTGTCAATATTACAGCACCCCGAGAACACTTCCCACCCCAGAAGTTGCTCTAAGCTAGTTACGACCCTATGTAATTTACATAAGGCCGGTGCTGTGACCTTGTCGTTGATAATAGGATTATAGGTGGAGAGGTTTCACTAAATCTACTAAATAATTGATACAGTATTTATTAAACTGATCTTATGTTTGGTTAACTGTGTCTACCATATACACTGCCCACTCACCTCTCATGACATCGACAAATGGGGAAATAATACTCAGAAGTAGTTTGTTTATAATTTGGAATTAGAGACGGTAAATAACCGGCTAGTTAGACGAATCTTAATTCAAAATGATTTTCATTCCAATCCAGTTCTAACTTTCTGTGGCTACAGTAAATGGGGATTTTTCTGCCACCTCCTCTACTAACCAGGTTAAGTATAACAATCCAGGTAAGGAATAGCATCCCATCATCCAGGATACCTCAGGTAAGGAATAACATCACATCCCTTCCCTTCCAGTTTACCCCAGGTAAGGTAATTACAGTATACACCCATCCCCATCATCCAGGATACCTCAAGGAAGGTACATTAAGGTAATATCCCCTGATCTGTAATGTATGTAAACAGTATTGCTGACAGCCCGGGGTTAAGTTGTCAATTCATAACTGATTTTGAAAAGCATACTCTTTATGATTTGCCGACACCCCCCCCCCCCCCATTAATCCGGTCTGCCCTGTGTTTGCCCCCCCCCCCCCAATAATTTTGGAAAATAAAAAAAAGTATTTGTGATACGTTTCGGTAATCAATACCTTCTACGGTGAATAAATCCCACATCCCCACTCAGTCATAAACTTGCATGTTGTAGAGCATTTCCGACAGTCTATTTTTCAAAATTTTCTTGGCGAGGTCCCCAATGGACTCGCTACTTTGGCACTCACCAGGGGAATTGGTTGAGTTTCGCAAGTCCGTTCGTTTGACATTTTGTTCTCTAGTCGGATAAACTAGTGATCAGGCGACGGACGGTATCTGGTCAGATCTATTTATCTCCACGATCGGTGCCTGACAGAATACTGTAAGACAGCTTTTCCGGCAGTCTATTTTTCAAAATTTTCTGGGGGAGGACTCCCTACTTTGACGCTCTTGAGTGGGCTTCGTCGTGATTCGCAAGTCCGTTCTTTTGACACTTAATCTCATCGATCATTGCCTGAAATACTGCCAGGCTTCATTTCCGGCAACCTCTTTTTCATAATTTTCTGGGGGAGGCCCCTTACCTCTAGTTAAAGCTCGTGCCTTTGCCCCCTTAACCTTGGACTTTGCCCCAGCTTTGCCCCTCCAATCACCGACGGCTGGCGCCGCCATTGTTCTCGCCTAATCTGGAATACTTGGACTGATGGATGGACAGACTGAACTGATGACAACATACAACCATAAATATTTTATTCTCAATGATAACAAGATAAACAGCTGTAAGATTATATTATTAGAGTGGGAATCAGCCATTAATCTTCATTTAAACACACCCTATTTAAATGTCATTGAATGATATTTTACAATTTGACAGTCAGTTTTAATATAAATCTATTAAACATTTTAAATCTATAAATAGTCTTACATCTTCATATACATGTTGTTCATTTTTCATTAAATATTTGATGCACTAGGGCTACTCATGTTGGCATCCAATCACATCTCAATACACTATAACTCATGTTGGCATCCAATAAATACAGTTCAGTACACTATAACTCATGTTGGCATGCAAGAAACACGGCTCAATACACCTTAACTCATGTTGGCATCCAATAACTTCCTCATACAGCTCAATACACTCACTCATGTTGGCAGCCAATAACTTCCTCATACAGCTCAATACACTCACTCATGTTGGCAGCCAATAACTTCAGCATACAGTGCAACTTGTTTTAACTTCCTCATACAATGTAACCCGTTTTTAACATAAGGGATTTCATCTTTTTATCCACCAGACCACTATGGCAATTAATCCTGCCATCTGTAAGCATATCATACTACAGCAATTATAAAACAAAGTCTGCCATTGGTAGATTAATCACACAATCATACTTCCCCATTTATAAAACAAAGTCTGTCATTGGTCGATTAATCTCGCCATTGATGAGCACAGGTCATACTACAGCATTTATAGAATGTTGTCATTGGTTCATCAGCAGATCGTGTTTGTATCTGCATAAAGAAGGCTCGATTATGTTCACATTTAGGACACGTCACTGAAAAATATAAACAATAATATTTAAACATGTTGAAGAGACAAATTACAATCATACAACTTGTTCTAGTCAGATACATAATGGCTTGTTCTAGTCAGATACACAATGGCTTGTTCTAGTCAGATACATAATGGCTTGTTCTGGTCAGATACATAATGGCTTGTTCTAGTCAGATATATAATGGCTTGTTCTAGGCAGATACACAATGGCTTGTTGTACTAATGACAGTTATCATACATGGACGCTGAATTACTAGAACAACTGATACTACTTACAGCGAGTAGTAACAAGTGTTGCACTACAGGCAGTGTATGCTGAATATTTCTAGAGGAACTGCTACCACTTCTCAGTTATTCACATAGCAAACATAAAGAAACTGCGAGTCCATCATTTGGGTGCCAGTTATCCTAACATGCATGTATATCACATTAAATTATCCATAGCCTTACCCGTGGCAATAAGAAACCCTACCTTTACTCATAGCAATAGGAAACTATACCTTTACCCATAGCAATGTATATATTCATAGGAAACGATGCTTTAATGCGTCTAGGGTGCCTGTGTCGGATGTTGTTAGACCTCATGTTTCATATTTTAATCCACAACTAACTTGAAGTCAATTAATAAAACATGTTCTATATTTACTGCCTCACAACAAATCAAATCTTATTAAATAATTATCAATCAGTTTCTTGTCTTAGGTTTAAGTCTATATCAATCACTTGTTAAACACTTGTGATATTTTACAACCTGTATATAGATTTACTCTTAACTATAGATATCTTATTATATACAGACTATATCCATATGTATATACTGTATGTACACATGTAAAACTCATATTCTACAAAGTACAAATTAGTCAATCAGTGACTTGAATCAGCTTTACACCAATACAAGTAGTTCAATATCTCATACAAAATACAACAAAAGTTGTCACAACTCCACCTACAAATATTTCACCCCCTGTGATAGTGAGATAGAAAGACATGATCCGGACAGATAAAACAGTATTATAGTTTATAATAGTAAGTAATAGTTAGACTCATAAGTTAACTGACTACAGTATTGTACCATAAGAATGGTCGAGTATAATGTTTTGTACTTCTGTAACAAATGAAATGGGTTTAACGTTCTACTTTAATACTGCACCAAATGGGTTAATGAAGACTGATGTCTAGTATAAAAAGTTTTACTCATAGTCAATAAATAATATATTGTATAATAAGAATGGTCTAGCAAAATGTCTTGTATTGTACAGCAAGAAGGTTTACAATATATTGTAATAATTCAATGGTCTGTTTGCATTCCAACAAAGAGACAATTTGTTCTATGGTGTACCATATAATAGTAATATATTAATGAATGGTCTGGTTTCTCATAATAGTAATATACAACTGAATAGCAATGGAAAACTAATTTGTTAAAGGCACAAAGATCTTCTACATTAGTTAAACCTTACAGGCTGACAGCTGTACAAAATACACTTTAAAGATCCAGAAATAATAACTTTGATAACAACATTAATAAAACTGTCTGTCAAATTGAAATTTACAGCTATACA